TTTCATAATCAGAAGGTTTTGGGGTTTCTTTTCACCCTAATTAGCATAAGCTTATGGAGATCTTGGATTTGCCGTTAAATTATGCTACATTACTTACATTCATAATAGTAGGCTCAAAATCTTGGAAAGCAACGGCGCGCCATTTGAGTTTGATTCCTGTTTGGGACGCTGGTAAGACACGGGGATGGTTGTTTAGGCAATAATATTAAATGCCATTGTGTGTTGTATTTGTGTCATTATGGAAAAATTATGCTATCAGACCTCCATTAGTTTATGCAGCTTTTATTCAACACGAATAATTTTATAAGAAGCAAATTCAACTATTTTTGCGCCACTTTACTAATATTAGCGCTCATTTTTAACCAATTCACAAATTTCAGCTCCTGAAGACATAGCTCCTACAACTTCTACAACTTTGTTGGATTCTCATCCACAATTCGAGTGCCCAAGTTCAGTGGTCACAGACCCCTCTCCTCTGATAGTATCGCAAATATCTGAGTCTTCGGGGGATAGTCCAGCAATCATGGACAAATATGCCATGAGCAAAGAATTCGAGGCAGTGGCTAGCAAGGTATGCATCAATGCCAACAATGAGACGACACGGGATGAAGGCGAAATGTCTCAGATTCTATCAACCAACGATTTTCAGCTGAAGCGTCTGGATGGGCCGAAAAAAGAGACAATCGTTTCTTTTCCCCAAAGTTCGTCTACCTCAGATTCTCAGGCCGTCTCTAATAAGACAATTTGTCAGGAACAAAAGCAGTCCCGAGAAGACAATGAATATAAATTGATAAAATCATCAGAGATTGGAAAATGTCCAGAGGGTGCACAAAAAAAGTCAAGAGTGATCGTTGGTGTTATTGACAGTGAAGAGACAGCAGGTCCCTTTGTTAGCAATACGGTGCCTTCTCTCAAGAATAATCTACAAGAAAGCACCATCGATGAAGTGACCTTGAGCAGAGAGGGCTCTGAGGATGCGCCGGATAAATTTCTGCGAGATAATTCGATAGAACGAAAGGCCAAAAAGCCCAGATCCAGTATCAGGTGAAGATTGAATTCAGCTTAAATAAATTGAATTCACTTAAATAAAACATAAAAAGTCTAACTTATGTAAGATCGGTGTAGGTCTCATAATTTAATGTATCGATATAATCAAGTAATTATGATTTTCCTTCATTGATATTTATAATTTTATGTATAATTTGACTAATATCCCAATTCGTAATTAAACTCAGACAAGCAATGACTCGTAAATTAATCTTTCTTTTTTATTCGTGTCATACCTATTAAATGCTTATATTGAGTATCTGCGATCTACCTTCGACTCATTCATGCGTGGATTGTAGTCCGGATACTTGTCTTTAAACCGAATCGTACTATTGAAGCAATAAACAAAAACAATGCTTCACTGTTGTGCCAAATAACTTTGATGCGTATAATTTTTTTCACCAAACTTATCCGCATATAATATTAAAAAAGTTATGACTCGAGAATCAAAGTTAGTTCAGGATATTTTTCATTTTTTAAATGTTAAAATACTTCAAATTTTATTTATTGAACTCAATAGTCTACATTGCTTGGACCGAAAAACAAAGATAATAGAAATGATATGTATTCACCCAATTTCGTGTAAGGTGATGAAGGACTGGTAGTAGAATTTTCGCACAATGATATGAGTTTAGCTGACTTTTC